CTTGACGCCTCTCTCCATAGCAGCTTCAGACCCATCTCTAAACTTCCGTTCATTTCCAAGATCTTGGAAAAAGTTGTGGCTAAACAACTCACAGCTGCTCGTGATGAACATAACATCTATGATAGCTTCCAGTCAGGTTTTCGTAGAGCTCATTCTACTGAAACAGCTCTTCTTAGGGTCTCTAATGACCTTCTGACTCACAGTGATGCAGGGGACTGTTCTGTTCTGGTCCTGCTGGACCTGGCTGCAGTCTTTGACACTGTTGACCATCACCTGCTACTGGAGAGGCTGAGAGACTGGGTAGGCCTATCAGGATCTGCTCTGGAGTGGTTCTCCTCTTATCTCTCTGAGCGCTCCTTTTCGTTGGCCGTCTCCATGTTTAGGTCCTCCACCACCTCCCTTAACCATGGTGTCCCACAAGGTTATGTGCTGAAGCCTCTGCTCTTCCTCCTCTATCTGCTTCCTCTTCAGCACATCCTGAGCTCCTTCAAAGGAATCTCCTACCATCTTAATGCAGATGACATCCAACTGTACATCTCCTTTAAGCCCCATGAGATGTCTAAGCTGCCGCTGTTACACACCTGCTTAGGCTCTATCAAAACCTGGATGGCTGGGAGCTTTCTACAGCTGAATGAAGATAAGACTAAGATCCTCATCTGTGCCCCAGACAAGCTGGTTCCCAAAGTCAGAGACTCTCTTGGTCAGCTTGCTTCTCACACCAAACCTTCCGTCAGGAATCTTGGCGTGACCTTTGACCCAGCTCTCGCCCTGGATTCTCATGTCAGTTCTCTTGTTTGCTCTTCCTTCTTCCAGCTCAGGAACATTGCTAAGCTGAGTCCCATTCTGTCCCGCTCTGAACTTGAGACTGTTCTCCACACCTTCATCTCCTCACGCTTAGACTACTGTAACTCTCTTTTCACGTGTCTGAGCAGAACCTCCCTGAACCGTCTACAGGTGCTCCAGAATGCCTGTGCTCGGCTTCTGACCAAGTCCTCCAAACACACCCACATCACCCTGCTTCTCCTCCAGCTTCATTGGCTGCCAGTCAACTTCAGGGTTCATTTCAAGATCCTGGTTCTGGTCTATAGGGCCTTACATGGACAAGCACCATCTTGCACTCGTGATCTTCTTAGTCCCTACACCCCCAGCAGGTCCCTGAGGTCCAGTGATCAAAGCCTACTGGTTGTGCAGCGCACCAGGCTAAACACCAAAGGTGACAGATCATTTGCTGCTTTGGCCCCCAGACTCTGGAACTCTCTCCCCCTGAGCCTGAGATCAGTGGACTACCGTAAATCCTCTAATACAGGCCCGGGCCTGTATTTGACTCAAGCTCCAGGCCTTTATTGGAAGGAGGGCCAGAATTAGAGGCAGGCCTCTATTTCTATCTGAGCAAAAATGAACTAATGGTTCGCTGGAGTTTTTAACAATTAAAATTGTGCCCACATTTTCAAAGATAAACACATTTCTTTTAACAACGGTAGTTTCTGCTTCAGCCCCCTCCCCCTCCCCCTGTGCAGCGGCTGCAAACTCACTGATGCGCCTGCAGCCTCTCAGAGTTCCTGCTGCTCTAAACATTAAAATAATTATTTCATTTTCTGTTCCTCACTTCTGATTACCTTCAATGGTGTCTGTTTGTTGCAACCACCAGGTACAAAAACTAACTTGTTTTTATTTGACTATTTTTCTTTCCTGCCTGTTTATTATCTTCCTGCATCTCCTCTCAATCCTAAAGAAAAACTGCTACCTGGGTTCATATATATTCACCTCATGAGTTACCTTTGAACTGCAGTTCTAAAAGATCTACCGACCGCAAAAACAGCGGAGTGCTCGCTGCTTGGCGGCCGCATCAGTGATCGGTGCGCCACTGGAGGACAAGGTGATGCGCCCCGCTCCACAGCAGCGAAACACATCAGGCGCAAATAAAAGACAGAAAACATTAAAGGAAATGAACCGACATGAACGATCGCGTGTCAGTACCGACTCTCGGCCCCCCACCAACCCCCCCCACCCCCCACCCCCACCCCCGAGCGCAGGAGCTTGTCACCTGCTGACAGCAGGCTGCTGTCTTTTCCGAGGGCTGCATCTTGCCGGTCATTATCACGTGACAGCGACTAGTCGATGACAGGCATAAAAAGTCACTATAGTGAAGTCGACTAGTTCGTACAACCCCTGCTACTGCTCCCCAGTGTTCTGCAGCGCACGTTCTCTTTGAACTTGATATCAAATTTTCGCCTCCTCTTCGTCTCCGCACGGTTAAAGTTACCCTCGCGGTCTATCACTGGCAAATCAAAAGTGAGACGATGACACAACCGCCCCCCGTACTTGCTTGTTACCACATTCCACCCAGCCACAATAAGAGACCGGCCATTATTCACCTCCGCCGACTCTGACACCGGCCAAAATATGAGACCTGGCCGTTAATTGAATACAGGCCTGTATTAGAGGATTTACGGTACTTTAAAAAACAGCTGAAGACTAACTTGTTCAAGCTGGCTTTTGTATGACCTTCTTCACCACTCTCTCTTTATTCTGCTCTCCCCACATATTCCACCTTCCTCAGGATCCACTGATTTCCCTCTTTCCTATTCACTCTCTCTTTCTTAACATTTTCTTTAAACACAATAGTCTATTTTTTGCTCATTTTAAATATATTTTTAACAATTTTCTAAATTCTTTTTATATTTTTACAATTTTTGTTTTTGTGAAGCACCTCGTGATTTTTATCTTGAGAGGCGCTATAGAAATGATATTTACTACTTCTTCTACCAGCTCTGTCGATGGCGTCACTCTACTGATTGGCATGTGGTTGTAGAAGATTCTGGTTTGGTTTGTCCAACATTAGCTGGAGCACAAAAACACATAATTTTTGTGACACATGCATCTGTTCAAACAAGATAATTAGCTGCAAACATTTGAAGCTTGAACATATCTTCATGATGTCACTTCTACCCATCAAACACTGCTCCGAGCCACCGAGCAGCTCACTGAGTTCATGGTTTAAAACAACTGGGCCAACCGCTCTGGTAAGATCTTTGGTAAGCAGAAATAAGAAAATTGTGATCTTGGTTTGAACATTTCTTTAAAGCAACATTAAATAAGTGCCCCACTTCCCCCTCCAACTGGTTGAAAGCAGAATTACAACAGTCGTAAACAACCCTGAAATAACCTGCTTCAATTATCAATAACAACGAGGTGTCACCAACACGAGCGAACTGGTCCTAAAATAAACCACAACGTACAAAGATCCACACTGTTGGACCCAAAAATGCTAAACTTACAAGTCCAGTTGCAACAAAGCCAGGTCACTATCAGTCTGAGGTGTCATAACCTCCTTCAGCTTCCTCAAATTAGTGGAAGCTGTGCCGATTTTACCGCTGGACATTACTCTCTTACTTTACTACCAGGCTTTGCCTTTATGCCAACAAAACAGCTAAATTCTTCATCTTCTTGTGCTTTTTATTGAAGTTGGTGAACTGAAAAAGCTAACTGCTAAACTTTATATTAGCGACCGGCACAGGTGCTGATGCTGTAAAACAGAGACCTCCCACTAATGTCCCTACCTGAGCCATAAAACTGTTTCTGGTCAGCAGAGGGCTACAGAGTGCTGTCCCGTGTGAAGTTGCTGAAGTTTATGTCTCAAGAACTATTGAAACCAGTCAGAAAGGAATAGCTTAAAGCATGGCTATTCAATTCCGAGCCTTGAGGGCTGGTGTTCAGCCCGTTTTAGTGGTTTCTCTAATCCAACACACCAGATTCAGTGGTTGAATCGCCTGTGCAGCAGCTCATCAGACTCTGCAGATGCCTGTTAATCAGGTGTGTTGAAGCAGGGATAAAACCAAAAGGTGCAGGACACCGGCCCTCCAGGCCCAGAATTGAATAGCTCTTGCTTAAAGTGTTTGAATCTCTATAGTATTGCTTTCAATGAGTTTTAAATGACCCATGTCCCAGTTCCACATCCTCACATGTCTAAACACGTTGTTTAAAGTGACGGTGTGTATTTTTCCTGGCAATAGGGGGCAGTAGATACCTAAATCATTGCAAGCAACCAGTATTTAGTTCTATAATAAGACCTTACCAGCAGAGGCCCATTAGGGTCAAAAAGGCCCGGGGATTGCAAACTTTAGCAAAATAACGAGAACATCAGACTCCATTTCATCGCTGGCAACAAGTGATGAGGTAAATGTGTAAAACAACAACATTTAAGAATGTCCAAATGTTTATAACCATTTGTTACTAATAAGTAAATGCATTTTGTCCTCATGGGTTCCTGTAGAAGGAAACATGACATCTAATATGGCGTCGCCCAGAGACATAGACCCGCTTGCATGTATTTTAGACCTGACTGTAGGGCTGGGCGATACGGCCTAAAAATAAAATCTCTGAATTATTTTTTTTATTCGATTTACGATTTTTTCCCCCAATTCTCTCTCCCCCTCAATTATTAAGAATAGCAATAAGTACAAATGGAAGGCACCTTAAAGCCAGTTTGTTTTGTATTTAATCAACGCTCATTTCTGTGATGAATAATTGATAAATGAACACCCTTTTGGAATAAAAGTGCCTCGCTCCACGTCCGTCGCAGCAAACCCAAACCAGTTCCAAACAATGGATGATTAATTCCTTTCTTAGGAACAAACTTCCCACTCTCACCGGTGACCATAGAGTCGCTTGCTCTTGCTGCTTCGTGTGCGTGCTGTGACGTTGTTGTCCCGGTTACGTGAAACTAACGCTACGGAAGCTCCGGGGGACCAAAAAGGAGCTATTACATAAAAATCACCCACAACAAATATTTTTAATTAATCGATTTATCTCCCAGGCCTATCTGACTGCCAATATTTTTCAACAACTGGGCATCATTTCGGTAAAAATAAACTACACATTGTGTCTTTAACTTGTGCTTTTATTGTGCATAACCTCAAATCAGGCCCATTCCTTTTAACTTTGAAGAACAGAGTGTAAAATGTGAAGCGGACACACCAATATGAATGACAGCCACTAACCTTGAGGTGCCCAGCATGCATGTTGGCCCTCTGACACATGGACAGGAAATGAGGTAGGTTTGTGCGTTCAAGCAGGATGTAAACAGACACTTTCCGTTTGAAACATGCATCCAGTAGGTCTCTGAAGATGTCGGCATCAGTGAAGAGATCCATCACCACTGCTATTACCTGGAACACCACAAATCGCAACTTCAATCAGGAGAACGCACAATCATAACATTAGCTTTGATTAGGTGCAGCAGGATATCATTTTAAATTTGTTGGTCTGGATGTACCATTTTACTTACAAAAGTCCTAAATCAATCTAAATATTTGATAAAAATGTCATTTCTGTGCATGTTTATGACTGATATGACTCATGGCTTTTCATTAAAGAGATCCAGGCAAATAATTTGTCACTGAGAGCAGCTGCTATCAAACAAAGCATGCCATAAACGCAGGGCCTCAGATGCGTCCGACGCACCAATGACACTCGAGCACATGCGATACCTTGCAGCTCTGCAGCATGTTGCACAAACCTTATGCAAATACTCAACATACCACACAGGCTTCAGAGTTGCTGGTATGGTTAAAAGGAAGAGCTCTGCTTGGGTCCAATAAAACAGCTTAATCAAGCTGCACTTTACCCTGAATGTCCCAGCTGGACTGTACTTTGCTATTATAGTCTGAGAGCTGCTCGTTTTGAATCAACATGAAGGAGTTGATTTGCCTAAACATAATATCTGAAGAGTTGGTTTTTACTAGTATGACTAAAATCCATCTGACAGTACTTTCGGACCTTAAGAACTCATTTCAGAGCTTCATTAAGTCAATATGATGGAATAAAAAGCTTTGTGAAAAGCTGCTAAATGCTGTTTGTTGGCAGTCTTGGTGGAGCAGGTCCATTCTGACAAAAATCTACTTTTATGAGCAAGCAGGTTAGAATTTCAGGAATTCACTTTGAACATGTATTGGAAAATGAGCCAGACCTCGACTTGTCATAAAAAATGTACGTTCAGTTGTGTTCTGACAAAGGTTTCTGAAAAATTTCTGAATACAAATTGTATTTTTGATCGCAAACCTAAATGTTTTAGTGATGGTTCTGAGTTTGATGGCTAACCCAATAATGCAAATTTCAGATATGCATTTTAAAAATGATTGATTAACCTAAAAATGATTAATGTTCCCACATAAAAGATCTTTCTTTGCTAGTTGAAATGAGCCCCCATCATTCTGGGGCAATAACGAAGCCAACATGGAAGTGGCCAAAATTGCAGTTCCACCTTCATCCTCCAGGGGGTGTACCAGAAGTGAGCAAATCCTCATTGACTCCCATGTTAAAAATGCCGATTTCACAGCAGAAATAAACATGTTTATAGCCTGGTTCAAAAACCCTTTTAGGTTTAATAGATCTGGTTTACATTCAGGGTTTCCCCCAGCCCTTTATAAGCCTGGCGGCCCGCCAGGCTTTACTTACTCACCCGCCAGGCTAAGCGTAAAAGGCCACGACGCCCGGCTACGATCGCATCGGTCTGAGGTTCTTCTTGTAATTTATAGTTCCGGTCCATATTAGATCTTCTTCACAGGCGACCAGCATGACCACAGCCTCACACAGGAGCCAGTCGGCCATGCGGGTGGGCTACGCCAGTCCTTGGAGCCTTTCTTGGCTTCTTGGGTTAGCTAAGTTAGCTAGTAGCTACACTGGTTCATTTGATCCAACCCTGTTCTAAACGTAACCGTCCCACCGATCAGCTCCACCTCTTTCCCCATTTTTTGATTATCTGGGCGTGACGGGACCTGTAACACGGTCAAATAAATCAGTGGTGGGAACCTCCCATTTCTGGCTTCAACCTGCCCCCCGCGGAACAATGGGCAGGCTATGTCCATATTTTTATATGTCGATGGTTTGAATTAGCTCCTAGTGATGTTCTTGAACCAAAGCAACGTCACATTATTTATTGCTGCTTGGTGATGGCACCATCACAAATGAAAAAGAAAAATCTGAGTTTAAAATTGCCCGATCAATGATTAACACAACGATGCTGAATGTGACCTATTCTGATCACAGGATTGTTTTGGAGGGGGTTCTCATTTATTCGCTGCAGAAATACGTGCTTTTCTAAAGCTTCAATAACATTTTAACATGTTAATAGTAGCTGATGACAAACGGATCCATAAATATGTTTAAAGACCACTAAAAGGTGTATTATTCAAACTGACTGGGGAAAGGTAATACTTTTGATATATTTTATTTAATATTTTTCTTTCACAACTTTATGCAAACATTAAAATCAAATTTTGCTAAGTAAAACAATTTCAAATGAAAAAACTCATTACATTGTAGCTACAGTTATTAAGTTTAACTGACCAAATAAAAAGGAAAGAATAAAAAAGTATATCCCAAATACTTTAAAATGGTAATCAGAGTAATAATTTAGCCCGTGGTTAAATGTGTCCAATGGGGTTATTGACTTATTTGACACACAAGGTGCTTATAAGAGGTCCCACTTACCTTTTGCGCCTGCGCAATGGTTTTTCTGACCACCTCTTTGATGTGCACCTGACCATCCAGCGGTGGCTGCGTGTACACCGACGTGCGGGTAACCCCGCGGTACGAGTCACTATCGGGCCAGCCCAGGTCCATCTGCGGGATGGACGTGTCCGACAGCTCCGGCCAGTACTGCATTGACACCCGCGCCTCCTCCTCGTCTGCATTAGCTAGAAGAAGCCCCGAGTCCGGGTCAAAAGGTTCCACCGCGGCGGTGAGAGTCCCCAGCTCCAGGTCGGAGAGGAAACCCCGCACACCGCGAGCTTCAAGGTACTTGAGGAAAGCCTCGCGACCATCCTGAAGGAGCGCCTCGAGCGCGAGGCGCTGTTCCTCGCAGTAGAAGAACTCCGGCTTGGTCTCGTTGGTCCTGGGGTTCACGTGGCTATCATCCAGGCACCGAGTCTGGGACAGAGCCATTGTCTCGAGCCCAAAAACACCTAAAAGCCACAAGAATAGTCCCAAACCCCCCAAAGAGACACGCTCATCTCCTCATGGTCCAGACTCCAGGTAAAGTTAAACATTTCAACAAGTTTGTTAACATAAAATCTGGTTCCAGTCTGAACATGTGGCCCCACGTCTGCTCCTATCGTCAGCCATAGGCACCCCGTTACCAAAAGAACAACTCACCCCGTCAGTGAGAGTTGGTGACATGCCTCTGGCTGACAGGTGTGACACTGACAGGTAGGACACGCCCACCTACACGTGACTTGTAGGGTTTTCCAAGCAGAGGCCTGATCAGGAAAATGAAGCATGTGGCTCATCTTTTTTCTTCTCATTAAATCGTTAGCCCCAGGCAGGTCAGAGCTGTGCTGCTCTACCTGTTCAGTCCTGTTCTTGCTTTTCCTCCTCCACACATCTGGCCTATAGATTGTATATTGTGCTTTTTCCAGAAGGGAAACTCCAATAAGTGTCTAGAATAAAGATGAAAATGAAGCACATCATTCAGATATTTGAAGAGAAAGCAAAAACATGAGGAGAGATCAGGTTAATTTGGCATCAAGCCAACCTTCAAGAGCTCTGCCTTTATTCTCAGTCACCACAAAAATGTACTTAATCAAAAATCTTATTCCCTATCACTTTCATCTGCAGCCACTCATCATGCTTGTCGTGTAAATAAGAGCATAGGCAAAATTTCCAAACGCGATAATTATAATTTAATAGTCGCCACATTTACGTAACAGTACACAATGAAACGAGTTTTCACAAAGACGGCAGCCAAATCAAACGGCCTCTGGCGTTTTAACTCAGGCCGTATATCTTTTATTTTTTAACAACCTAATTTTGCTTCAAATGACTTCAAAGAGACGATAGCTTTGAGTATCAGGGGTAAGAGTCTGAGGGCAGCGCTGTGAAACGTTACTTTATTAAATATGAGGAAAAAAAGTGTTCGCAAATAACTTGGGTGTCATTTTGGAACACTGCACCTTAATGTGGTGTTCATTAGTATCATCTAATTAGGATGTTTTAGTTGCTAGTGGAGTGGATGGGTTCCAAATGTCTCATTTTATACAGATAAAAAAAAATACACTCTAGAACCAATTTTTACATTTTTAAGTGAAATGGTCTCTAAATCTGAGACCATGGTCTTGATTCGGAAAAGGACAGAATGCCTTCTCCGGGTCAGGGATGAGGTCCTGCCCCAAGTGGAGGAGTTTAAGTATCTCGGGGTCTTGTTCACGAGTGAGGGAAAACTAGAGCGTGAGATCGATAGGCGGATCGGTGCTGCATCTGCAGTGATGCAGGCATTGTACCGGTCTGTTGTGGTGAAGAGAGAGCTGAGTCAGAAGGTGAAGCTCTCGATTTACTGGTCGATCTACGTTCCTACCCTCACCTATAGTCATGAGCTTTGGGTAGTCACTGAAAGGACGAGATCGCAAATACAAGCGGCCAAAATTTGTTTTCTCTGCAGTTTTTACCCTTAGAGATAGCGTGAGAAGCTCGGTCATCCGGGAGGGGCTCAGTGTAGATTTTCTGCTCCTCCACATCGAGAGGAGCCAGTTGAGGTGGCTCAGGCATCTAGTTAGGATGCCACCTGGACACCTCTCTGGTGAGGTTTTCCGGGCACGTCCAGCCTGGATGACGCCTAAAGGTACACCCAGGACACCTTGGGGGGACTATGTCTCTCACCTGGCCAGGAAACGCCTTGGGATTCCCCCGGAAGAGCTGCCCTCGCGACCCGACTCTGGGTAAGCGGATAAATGTATGGATGGATGTTCTCTGTACCATTAGACTAAATTCTGCAGTCTTCCTTTATTTTTGAACATCACTTGGTTGTGACAGAACCCAATAACCTATGATGTCCTGGTTTAATTTATTAAACAAATTAGTGACATGTCAGTTCTTTAAATGTCCCAGGAATACTCCACAGAGTCGACGATTGGCAGCTTTATTTGAAGAACTTCTAGTCACTAAGTAGGTCTTCCAAGGATTTGAGGCACCATATTCTGCGAGGTTTGTGGGTTTTGAGTTTATTGAACTGGTGGTTACCAAAGCTGGGTTGAACTAGTTTGTTGCTTTTCTTTGACCTTACTGGAGATGGAGAGCAATTTTATTAAAAGATATTTAGAAGTTTTTTGAGACTCTTATTGTGAAAGACATAAGTTCTCTACAGAAGTAGCAAAAAATACCTTGTTTTAAACAAAATGCTCACTTTGTAATAGTTAAGTCCATAAAACACAACCAGAACTCTTGAACTGACTAATAATGTGCCTTGAATATCCCGTGGAAATGGTCTTGGATGAAAAGATTATATTATCTATAAAATGTTATCTTTTCAGTTTTAAATATCTCTTCAAACAGCCTCAGTTTGGATAAATAGAGATAGCTTCTGACTAGACAAGTGAGTTAGTGCATGTAAATGCTGCATCAGAAAGCCAAAGTCCAAAATGCATGTAAGCACCTTAGTCCAGCTGAAGTTGATTTGAACTGGACTACTGCTAATCGAGCTAAGGGACCCAGACAATGCAGTCAGAAAGGCAAACTTCTCTGCATCTAAATGACATCCTAGCTTAGCGGAGCTATGTCCAATCTGTGTGCTCCCCCTCCCGGAAGCGGTCTTCTGATATCATCACCACAATGTGACACCATCAAACTGTACATCGCGAGTCAAATGTGCTGCAGCGTTCTTCTTGACCGTTCCTTCAGCCGTTCTGAATATCCTGCTTTTTCTTCGTCTGCTTCACTCCTCCCACCGTTTGTTTCTTATTTCTGTCGCTATAGGCTAACTGGAAAAATGTAGATACAACATCACGGAGTCTAACGCACTTTATTCAATAATTCGGTTAACTAACAAACTAGAACAAAAGCCTCTTTTGTGCGTTCATTCTGTGTGACTCAAACTGCATTACTTGGTTCTTTTTCCAACGCAGCAAAAGCGTTGTTTTACCTTGTTTTTGCTGATGTTTCAGCTAGCGCTGTAGCCTTCCTCAGAGCTCACAGTTGTTGTCGGCGTCACTTGCTTCTCCGTTTATCCACCTGTGCTCCCCTTGCCGATGACAGGCCCAAGCGTGATCAAATGTGTAGACCCCATCGTCTCTGTTCATGGTTGTGTGACAACAGCGGCAAGCTCTGAGGAAGGCTACCGTTAGAACAAAAGCCATTTTTACAAAACAATGCCGTCAACTTGCCGCAACGCTGAACCGGCATCAGGGAGCCTTAGGTCTTTTAGAAGTGTTCAGACCGTGGCGGTAATGTGGCATAATCGTGTCCTTTTTACACAAGATTTGCAACGGTGGTACAAAGGGGGTGGGGGGGTGGAGGGTGGGGGGGTCTCTGCGCTGCCGTGGACTACCGTTTATCTTGGACATAACTTGCCTTTTATTTTGAATAAAGCCGCGATCATTACGTTGTTTTTGACTAGCCACTCCAAAAGGTGTCCTCCACAATCTCGTGCCGTCTCTGGTGATCTGAGCTCCAGCTCTAATGGAGAGAAGCTCCTGGAGCTCATCATCTCAGCTGATTCTGTTTAGAAAAGTGAAACTTATTGCCCGTTTTTACCTTCATTTTCAATATAGTTGCCAGCCGGAGCTCGGCTGTAACTTCCCACGTAATCGTGACACCTCTCTCTGTTGCATTTAAGACGCACTGTTGCGGTAATGTTACACTGATTTTCCGGCAACGGCTTCCATCTCTGGTTCAGGTATTAGCTCGATTATGGCCGTAGTTCGACTTAAATGTGCATGTAACTGCGCTGAGTGAAGCTAGTGGATTGCACTAGGAGCACCCAAGGCTGAAGTGGATGTGCTACAAATATTTGCCCTTCTATTGGAATATGTAGTAATGTGAACTTGAGAGGTATGTCAAGGCTTTCTGTTATTTTTCCACTTGTGGACCAACATTAATCACCAGATGTTCTGTAGTAAAAGAAGAATCTGTGTTTTGGACTCAACCCATGACCTGTACCATTACCCAGCAATGTGTTGTCCATTTTTACAACCTGTTCTACTGTTTTGCAGACAAATATTTCTTTGTTGACGAGGCCTGTAGTCAGCTGGACGCCAGACAGCCTCTCAAACTGGTTCAGTGTGGTTGGTTGTTTGTTGTATCTGCAGGTAACACCTGTGAATAGTGCTGATGTCACTGCTCACACACCTTTCTTCCACTAAATTATACTGTTAATCTCATGCTTGTACAGCTGACACAATGTTCTCTCGCATGTCTTCTAGTTTCTCCTGTTTTCCTTTACTTCTCTTTTTTATTTACTCCTTAATCTCTGTATATTTTAATTCCTACGCCTTTTATTTGTCTGAGGAAGGGCACAAATGTACAAAGAAGGCTAGCATGTAATTTTCTCTACCATCTATAATGTTGTCATTATTCAACTCGTTCACTGCCAATGACGATTAAAGTTGTCATTTGCATGTTTTTACTGTGTGGGCATCGGAACGAGCCCCCGCACCGTGAGAAAAAACATCCCAGCTCTAAAGTCGATCTTCATCTGCACACGTCACACAGGAAGCAGAAAGTCAATGTGTTAGGAGATCGTTTTGGGCCACTGCTGTAAAAAAAAAAGTGAGGCGCGAACCGGAAAAGCTTCTGCCGTTCACAATTCAACAACGGATTATGAAATAACGGATAAAGCTCAAAATGTGCGGATTCTTTCTGAGTAAGAGGTGAGTCTGCTTTGTTTTGGTTGTTTTGGCGTCGACATCATCCTAGCGCGCAACATTCTGTGACTCTTACAAAACAGAAAAAAAGGTGAGAAACGCTGGCAGAGAAGAGCTTTACCGATCAGGAAACGGCTGGCTGCGAATGAGTTAATTTTTGTTTTCTGTAGTTTAGTATAAAGCTTCATACATCATTAATTAATTTGAAGTCCGGACACAGGGGGGTTAACATCACTTGGTCGGACAGTACCTGGGAGGAGGACTGCAGAAGGAGGGCTGGGCTGCCTGGGAGTGCTATGGGATGGGGAACAGGGCAGACACAGCATCTTTTGAGAAGAATGACCAGGCCTTTCCATCGGACGCCACCCGTTTCCTGATCAGAAAAGCCCTTCGCTGCCAGCGTTTTTCAAAATTTTCAGTTTTTTTACAAGTCACAGAACATTGCACGCTAGGATGATGTCAACGCCAAAACTATCAAAACAAAGCAGAGACTCACTTCTTACATCAGGAAGAATCCGCATGTTTCGAGCATTATCCATTCTTTCATAATCCGTTGTTGAATTGTGATCGGCAGAACCTTTTCCGGTTTGCGCCTCAATGTCTTTACAGCAGCGGCCCAAAACGATCTCCTAACACATGGATTTTCTGCTTCCTGATCACGTGATGTGTGACATACACGGATGAAGATCGGCTTTAGCGCTGAGATGTTTGTTCTCACGGTGCGGGGGCTCGTTCCGACACCCACACAGTAAAAAAATGCAAATGATGACTTTAGTCATCAATGGCAGTGAATGAGTTAACATTTGTGAAGCATAATACAAGGTCATTAATTGTTGCAGGTAGGTGTGTTTCCACGAACTGTGGACGTGTCCCAGAAGTATATTGTTGCTGTGCTCCACAAAATTTAAACTGCAAGTCTATTATTTAGGCGCCACGCTGCCAGAATGCATCAAGCTCAGCAGTTCCGTTCGGGCCAGGAAGTGAAACACAAAAGTTTAGTAAAATACCTGGAAACCTAAAAAAATGACAAATGCAGATTTCCATTTCCTGATGTAGTAAAAAGAAAGTATGTCATTACCTGACAAACTGACAGCTCCACAGCCAAGGTAAACAGCACAGAAAATAAACCACAGACCTTTTTGGATGCATGCTGCCATTTTTCTCTTTACTTGTTATCTCGTGAACTATCGGAATCACCCGTGGTTTTGCAATTCTCTGGTCATTTTGTGACCTTGCAGGACCAGCTGGGTTTTTGCTGATGTTTTGTATTTTAAATGCTTGTGGTGGGAAGAGAGCTCGAGGGTTAAATGCGTCTATTACAATACGCGCTGCTTACACATCCAATAGAAAGCCGGGTATGAACTAAAAGCGCTTTTACAGCTCTAAAAAAATCCCCAGTGACACAAGAAAAAGTCTATAGATAAAAATAAGAATTTTCTGTGCAGGTATGAAAACTTGCTAAATATAGTAACTTACATGTTGGTCCAGAAGGTTCAACAAATTACAAAAGCCACAACGCAAAAACAAAAGCTGCAATACTAACCAAATGCAACACAAATCAAAATTTTGCTGATGTCTTTTTGCCTTTGCATTTTGACAAACCTTTTGGGCCACCGCAGACTTAAAGCTGCATTGACAAAACTTAAAAACAAGCTAAACACTAACACTATCAAAACTCTCACCCCTCCCGTTGGCAATCATCCCTAGGCCACGCCCCTCTTATATGGGAACACGCATAGCCAGAGTAAACCAAGGAGCTCAAAACACCATTTTCTGAGTCCAAACTTGTTTTTTGTTGTCCGTGACTTCAAACAGTGTTTTTCTTTTTGGAACTTAGGACTTTCTTTTGTCCTAAAGTTGAAGTGGTAGCAGTCGGCTGTTTCCTCTCACATTATTGAGCAGAGAACCTCTCACACCAGCGGTGTTCTATTGTAAAATGTGCGAGTGTGTAATGAGTTTAGGACCAAGGTAAATGCAGAAGTGCTGTGGATCAGTGAGATAACCACATGGTCCAGTTGTTGTTTTGGCCCGAGCCGTGTTGTTGGCTGGTTTTTTTTTTTTGTTGTTTTTATTTTTTTTTGTAAGAGAACCACTTCAGTAATTCCTTTTTTCTTTTTTTTCAGTCTCCACAAAATATTTATAGATGTACTATGTTGGAATGTTGTTAAAAGGCATGAAAACATGTTTTATAGATTTACCATCGTAGCTTTAATAAATCCCTAGGTTTGCAGGTAATTGTAATTTTGATATTGACTTTTGTATTGTTCCTTTTTTAAATGTATAACTATTTTACAGCATGCTTCTTCCTGTTCCTGCCAACATTCCCATCTGGTAACTTTTCACTCACCGTTTTGCTTTGTGACAGTGAGACTTAGCACATCTGTGTTTGACACAAACTTGTAATACCGCACAGAGATCTCAAAGCGACAGCAGCTCCTAAAAGCACCAGAGGAGGAGAGCTGCTTGTTCTATTTGTGGTACACCTTTAACTTCTTTGTTCTTCCTCCTGCTGGATGCTGTTAGTTTATTGACTAACTGTCATGAAAAAGCTGGAGGTGACTTGGTTAGGAGGAGAGCATCAAAATTGTAGAAACAAAGGAAAGAGACAAGAGAAGTCAAAGAAAGGAAACACAAGCGTTTGAGTTGATTTAAGATTTCACTTGAGAGATGAAAAGGTTTCTCATGTAACAGCAGGCTCACGTCACTGTGGCTACATCGTTGACATGTTATAGATATGTAATTATGTCTAAATAACTGTGTAATGCAAAGTTTCCGGATACATAAAGGTTCATACCACTTGCTTGGGCCACTATTAATTGTTATCATATGTTGTTTTAAGCTAGCCATAACCCACTTTGTTCTTGGCCCCACTCAGACTAGCCTTTAGCTCTTCTATCAATACAGATTTAAAGCTGTTATTGTGAATCTACAGGACAAGCTAGGTTTTGAACGCAAACACGGTCAGGGTTCCTGAGCCTTTAGATGGTCTCTCAGTCTTAACTGGATCTGTAAAATGAATGGACTTTTGCACCATATTCTCATTTTTCCAGTTTCACCTGCGTTATTTTGTCTTTCACAGTCATTGGAATCATGATTTATATAATGTTTTTATTCACTTATGCACAAATTCTAAGTTCAAATAGGTAACTGTAACACTTTAGCTGATTTGTCAAAACAAGTAATGGAAGACCAGTCTGAGTTCTTTACTGTAAATCACGTAAAATGTACTTTCTTTAAATTTACTTCATATCAACAGAATCAAAACCTTTTTTACAACAATGAACTTCTATTTACATTATCTGTGTTTTACACATACATGAGAATAAATACATAGAAACAAACATTTGATTATGCATAACTTGCTTTCGATATTTTAAGCTGTGGATTCGAAGCAAGTCGGACACACCCTTTACATCAAACATGTCAAACAGACTTACTCTCACACGTACCGTCTATACACTTACACCTTTCATTCTCACATGCCTGTAGAGCTCAGACCCACTGCCCCCTTCACACTCCAGCCCAATGACACAATCCATCTTCCTTTAGTTCCTCACTCGATGTCCTCCTGGATGACAGCAAAGAAACTCCACAGATTCATCTTCCTGTCCAAAACGGGTCTTTTTCTGTTTTTCTGCACCAGCACTGATGAGATATAATGAATGATTACACCTGGCAGTGTGTGCGTGTTTGTTAGTCAGTGACTCCACAGCGTGTAGGTCCACTTCTGAATGATTCACACTAACAAAGACATGTGGTTAGCTGAAGACTGAAAAGTGCCTTCCTTTTGGACGGGTGACATCACAGAGAGATGCTCGTTCACTCCAGAAGTTTGTGGGCAAAGGCGAGTAGTGTTCATTTATCAAGGGTAGGTGTGTGGGGTGTCAGGACGCTCATCGCTGAGCCCTCTTGAATTTTAACGCATTTGCTTGACATCCAGGTCACTGGTTTTGGTAAATGGGCTGGACATACTCAGGGGGGAAGTGGCCCACGCGTCCATGGCAACGACCCTTCCAACGTAGCGAATCAGAGCAGTCAATGAGTTCGATGACGTCTCCGCGCAGGAAGCGCAACTGGGAGGGATGGTGTGGGGTGAAGTCGAAGAGAGCGTGGGCATGATGGGGACGCTGGGCGAAAAGAAGAGAGAGTCAGTGGGAAACATACAAAACAAAATTAATTACAGCCTGTATCACCAAAAGGGAGATTCCCACACTGTCAGGATACCATCATAACTAAACAGACTTATCAAATTAGTCTAAATTAAAATCAAAGGCATGACATCCTCCAACTTTCATGCCAGAGTTTTGAATTAAGTTCATCTTGAATTGTATCCATCTTTAATGAAATCTTTACAAAAAAGTTATGCAAAATCTCACATCACATTTCAAGATTTAACATTGTGTATTAGCACTAAAAAATGTGATGTGTAGAACTCAGCTACTATGGGAGCTTGGCTCAATATCTATAAAAATGACCAATCTATAAACCCCTTGAAACGTGATGTCAGGTGCAGCCCCCTTCTTGCCCTCCATCTTGTGTGGATGGCACAGATACTCAGATGTAAATAACTTTCCACGGGTCTATAACCATTTTTGGGTTGGGAACATTTAATTAGCTATGATGGCCATCTTGACTTTGGTTGACTCCAAAAAAAAATGTGGCTATAAATTTATATTCTGTGATGAATTTGTGAGTTTCCACTAAAATCTTTCTGATCAAGAGGGGCTGGAGACCAACAGAACTTTAAGACAGAGAGGAAATTATCTCTGTCTGGCCCCAAAACAAGTTCTTATCTGAATCTGGTGCCCTTGAGCCTGTGAGGCTGAAGTGATTACTCCCCCTCAGAAGAAATGTGGAATGCTGCTATCGCCATGGCAACTCTGTCTGCCTATCCCAGCCTGAGCGGGACTGAGACCGGTGAAGGTCGTGGAACCATTTCCAGGAGTCACTGTGCCCTCTAACCCAATTACCTCCCTCCCCTGTCCAAACGGAGGTTACGAGCGCTGCTCATTGCGGCGGCATGCACTGATGTGTGGAGAGTCCCCAACCCTACCTCCCCACCTAGTGGACACTTATGTTGTGTAATGTCTGAAGTCTGTTGCATTTCTGTCTGAGGTTTTTTTTGCATAGCAAAGCTGCCCTCTCTGTGGAGGGTAACTCTGAAGTGCCTTTTTTTCCTCCACCTGACTCCATCCTCATATAAACCCTCTGATCTCTATTAAGGTAGCGCGACTCGGGTTGCGAATGACCACAGTCACAAATTCTTGTCATGTGTCTTTGCCTATGTCTGTATGTCTGATATCAGAATTGTGTGTACTGAAACTCTAATTTCCCTCTGGGATTAGTAAAGTAGCTTTGAATTGAACTGAGTTGAATTAATATGTTTCAACCCTGACATTCCAAAGATGATGGAGAAATTATCGGGCTCAAGTTTCAACACCTGTAGAATCATGGCTGTGTAACTAAGCGGACCTTTACCGGACCTTTACCTAGGACCAGTGTTGTTTTTGGTGGGCATCTTAGTTTTAATCTTAGTCTTAATGATGGAACTGCCTTTTAGTCTTAGTCAGTTTTAGTCGACCAAAATTCAAAAAGGTTTTAGTGAACAAAGATATTTGTTTTGAGTTTAAAAATATAATAAACTGAGTATTAGTCTATAACAAAAGAATTTATAGGTCAGATGAGTACTCTGAACTATTGGAGTGAGTTTCATTCCAACATCCTTTATTTCATGCTATGGGACGCAATCTTAACTGCCTCCAATTTTGTCCAGTAAAATGATAATCCCCAGACTGATATTATTGTTTTTTTTTAAATTATAATCACTATAGTGTATATTATTTAGTGATGCAGATCAGTTCATCATTCTGTAGATTTTCACAATAAAAATTTGATTTTCTTTCCTTAACTGAATGGACTATTAGAAGAAGGAGAAACGATCTTCTATATAGCGACCATAGGGAGCATACAGTGTATTCTACACAATATTTAAATAGAAATAAAGAAATGTGTTTGTTTAATTTATGATTTGAGTTATCAGATCTCTATTTAAGTGTCTTAAAATATATATTTTGGCAAAGTCCACCTATTAAAATGCAGTAATGTTTTTCCATAGTACTGCAGTGTTGTGGGTAGCGATGGGTACCGAATTCGGTACTTTTTAAGGTACAGACCGAATTCCATAGTACCAACTGAGCACCGATTCACGTCATTTGAAACGGTGCCTCGTTTCGGTACCCGTCCTTCATAACAAGAACTTGCCTAGACAGCTGCGCAACGTTATGTTGTTGGTCCCTGCGAGCATGTTGTAAACAGAGCAGCAAGGTAGAAAGAAGGCACGCTAAAGCTTGGGTCCACTTCACTAAATGTGATGGGTAACTGGGTGATGATGAAACCAGCGACAACGATCTAAGTGAGACGTCCTCATCTTAATCTGCTCCGGTAGGTAAATAAAATGTTTAAGATAACATTAGCTTGATTTGTTGGCATCCGTTCTGCTAATGGTGCGTTCGCTTTCTCCTCTGAACTCCGAATTTCCGACTGGAAGAACGTGAACGCGCTCTAAAGTTTGGCTTCACTTTACTAAATGCGACGGGTGATTGGGTGAGGATGAAACCAGCCACAACGATCTAAGTGTGAGGCATCATCATTTTAATCTGCTCCAGCAGTTAAATAAACTGTTTAAGATAATGTTAGCTTGATAAATTAGCTTCCATTTCCACCATTGTTATCAGCTAATGGTGCGTTCGCTTTCTCCTAGGAAATTCTAAATTCCCAGTAGGAAAAATCAAAGAAAATGGACGGCAAAAGGAATGAAGATACACAGTAAATTTAGTTCACAGGAAAGATGTTTGCTTCAGTTTAATTATCAGCTTATAAAACTACAAGGACGATGTTAAAATACAAACAGTTGTATGTTATTTATCGTGATATTTATCAAATATGGTTATATATTGAGAAAATTATATACTTGATGTATTTATTATAAAAGAAAGTTAAAATATTAAACACTCTAAAGTATCTAAAATTGGTACAGTTAAGTACCGGTATTGATTCCTAGGTACCGGGAATTAGTACCGAATTGATTCAAATGTCAAAGGTACCCATCCCTATTTGTTTGTTTTCACGAGTCTACAGAATTAATATAAATAACCCAGTTCTGCTCATAAACATTTAGATGGGCTTAAACTGTAATGCTGTTGGTTTAAAAGGCAGGAACGTGACCTGTTATTAACAACCGGGAAGCAGAGAAAATAAACATGATACATTGACATTAAAACATTCATTTTAAACGTGTTCAGATAAAACCTGTTAAAAAAATGTAATTTCTTTCATTTTTCTGCCCCAAAGCATGACTTTTTCTGGAAGCACACAGATAAAAAAGCTAGAAAGAAGGATAAGAAACATGTTAATATTATGAACATGATTATAAGTAGCAATGTGGTCACTCATAGTAGCGTCTGTGAGGGACTGAGAGCTGCGCGTTCCCGCGGCATGGAAGCTCTGTGTGATGATCTGAGTGAAGTTGGCTTCCAACCTACATCAGAAATCCACACAAATAAAGTGGTTAGTGCTACATACTGTACGTTAGTGCTGGATCTCTGATGTGGGTGGGAAGCCAACTTCACTCCACTGCTGAGGCTGGCCTGCTGAGCAGAATATGGCTGCAGCTGGGTCTGGGACACACAGCAGTAGCGCTAGTTTTTGTGAGACAGGTAGAAGTTTGCATTTTGGCAGCTAGTTAATGGTTAATTTGTGTTCCCTAAACTTAAGTGTTACCAAAAGATGTTTTTTCTGTGTGGAATGAAGCTCAAAAACAAAGAAAATTAACACTTAATTAAAGGAACAGGAAAATTTATAGTGCTCCCAGTTTTTTTAAATTTTAAAGAAGTTTAGATCCGCATGTTTGTCCTTTTGGAATTAAATTACCTGAAAGAGAATTTTGAGTTGATATATTTATAACTTTGTCGCTGCTAATGGCTGCTCTGATCTGTGCAGAATATCAATAATAATTATGCTTCAACCACATTTAATGCACATTTAATTTTAAATGGTTGCTTATTTATTAACGGATTAGTTAGATTTTAATTAAATATCACATTGAAGTTATATTACTGCGTTTCAATGCTTCATCTTCTTTTTATTCTTGGAAATTATCTTTGTTTATTTTCAGCTACAGCCTCAAAGGCCTTATAAGGAGAAAAATCTCCACTGAAGGAACTGCTAAATTCAGAATTCTTGGTTGTGTCTCTTATTTTCTGAGAGGTATTATTTAATTCAACAGCCAGGATCCAGTGGGTGAAATTTAAAACAGAATATCAACTCTTTGAAGTATTTTTACTCATACAGTTGTGTGAAAATGAAAATAATCTAGGGAACAAACATATATGTATGTAGGTTAAGAGTTAAAAAAAATACTTCATTGCACCAAAAATATATAGAGCGAAAATAAATACACACAAATACATTTATTATAGTATATAGAAAAAAATGCACCAGGTCCTGTTTGACTGTCTTGGTTGTAATATTTTATATTCTGTGACTTTGCAGTATTGATTTTTAAAATTGTGCACAATAGAAATGCTATAACACTGAACATGCCACCAGCCTTCACATGCACACATAATTTAAAGCATTTGGGTGTTTATTCCATCATCAGACTTTTAATCATGTTATCTATCCTCATTTCTACCAGAAATATCTAGAATAGCACTTGTTACCATAGAGTCACAGAGCCAAACCTCAAAAAGTACCACAACTGGTGTCAACATGCTGCCAAAATTAGACACTCAGGCTCCTGACGGAATTGTTATTGAAATAACTTCTTAATTGGCACACAGTTTGGATTTTACTTGGTCAAATTTTTGCCAGATGTGACTTAGTAACAGAGTAGAAACCTTAGTGAGGACCATCCATTGACTTCCATTCATTTTTGTGATTCCATTATGCCTAACCCATACCCCAAACCTAACCCTAGCCAATGCTGATCTACTGCATTCCTAACCCTGACTTTAACTAAACCTTAATTCACACCATCTAAAATCAACTGTATGCTTTAAAAAAAAATTAGTGAGAACCAAAAAAAAGTCCTCACTTTTAAAAAGTGACCTAATTTGGTTGGTTAAAA